ACCTACCTACCTACCTACCTACCTACCTCCTTCCTTCCTTCCTTCCTGTAATTCTGTACCATCAACTTCATGGAGACTCCTGACAGTTGAAAACCATGTAAAATCCATAGAATTGTAAAACATACCATCCCAAACCAGAACAAACCATGGTCTCATGAGCGACTGCTATATATGTCAACCATGAAAAACTCTTTGGAAGAGCTCTGTCTTGACTGCCCTCTGGAAGGCTGAAGGAGAGCACCATTTGGATCCCCAGGAATGAGACGTTGCATAAAATCGGGTGCGACTCTGTCTGGTTGAGCTGAGGTTCTGAATTTCTTCTCTGATTGATTGATTGATTGGTTTGGAAGGTCCCTGGAGTGTTAGGTTCACCATTTGGGTTTCTGGACATTTCTGGATTTTTTTGTCTCTTAATTAGCAATGAAACAATCTATTTCTTACTGTCTCCAACGTTTCTGCTTGCCTAGGAGATTCTCACAGGGCACACTGACAAAGTGACAGCTGCCAGATTCAAGCCTGTGTGGCACCAGGCGGTGACGGGCAGCCGAGACAGGACCGTGAAAGTGTGGGACTTGGCCAAAATGGCATGTAAGTAGTCGTGATGCTTCTGGGGAGGACCAGGATGGAGCCACACCCAAGGCAAGTTCTTCGGCACTCCACCCCACACCCGACTTACTGCTGTCCATCCTGGCAGGTTTTAGGACCATCCAGGTCTTCTCTTACTGCAATGATGTTGTGTGTTGCGACAATGTCATTGTGAGTGGGCACCACGACAAGAGGATCCGTTTCTGGGACAGCAGGTGAGTGCTCCAGAAGCAGGCGTACCCCCATTCAGCTGACAGCACCAGGGTGGTAGGATGCCCTCCCTGGAGAAGCTCGCCTGGCCCCCGCTTCATCCCACCACGGCTCTGCAGAAAACGGGCTTCTCCAGCTGCTCCTCTTTTCCTCTGTTCCTGATTGCTTCAGTGTTAGGGACAGGCAAGGATGAGATCCCAGGTATTTTCCCAGCCAACCTCACTTTCACAGCTCTGCTTCACCTTCCATTCCTAAGCTGTAGCTTAACAAGAGTAAGACCTCTTACCTTTCCCCAACTTAGTGCCATCTGTCAGCTCCGAGAATGCTTAACTCTACTGGCCAAAGCTTCTGGGGTTTGAAGTCCAAGTCTTCGGCTTGCGGGGAGATGTTTGAGATTCTGCTTCCTTTTCCCGTCCCCTTCAGAGAGGCAAGAATAACACCCTCGCTGGCTCTTTCTGCTATATACCTGGGCTGGTGTGCTTGGCAGGTGATTTGCACGGGGCACTTGGTCAGGTGAAGACTGCTCAGCTCCGTTTCTACAGCGTGCTGCCTTGGATTATGTTATGCCTTGCTTAAGCCATGGGTCAGTGTGTTGTAGACACCCAGAAAGTGGGTTGACTGGGCCACCAGGTTAAATATGTTGTGTGAACGCTGCAGTTCATTAACCTGGTGGGAAACAGCCAAAGGCCGTGTGCTACTCCTCTTCCCCCCATTTCCTCCTTTGCTTCGAATTCTTATTCTGCAAATTGGGAAAATCGGGATATTCAAAGAGATCTTCCCGTTGCTGGCTTGCAGACAAGCACTGGCAAAACGAAGCTTTTCCAGAGCGACCCCCTTCACTGCAGGCTCAGAAACGTG